GTTGGGCCTCCTTTGACGGCAGCTTAGTTTAATGGACCTCACAGCACTTTTTAGCAACCGCTGAACATCAGTGAACCCTTTATGGCTGCTTAATCTGAAGTTACAACCTTTACATGTTGGGCCATTTTCAATACACGCAGCGGTGTTTGATCTGTGGGTATAGATTAGGCTAGTCGTTTCCAAATCTAGAGGTGTGCTTGAACCACTCAGCCTCGTGCTTCATGTTCTTCACAGATTCCAAACGGACGATGGTACTTTGAATGCACGTTAAGTAACACGAATCAGCACTTGCATTTTACTGAAGATCATATCAAGCATCTACCTCAGCTAATGGAAGAAACACTGCAGGATTATGCAAAATACTGGCCAGATCTTGTTCACTTTAGCAGTCTTCATGAAGACCAGAAGGTTTTGGTCCAGAAACGTCAGATAAGAGGATCAAAACCTGCTACTGACTATCTTAAAGCTGAAGAAACATTTTTTCTACCAACCCACTTGAAGATTTATAATATATTAAGGAACATTAAGAAGAAAAAGAAAGAGAAGAAAAGCTAAATGGGCCAAAAGCAAACAAAAGAAACATGTTCTCTTGAGATTGCTAATGCTGGCAGACAATAGCACAGAAAGAACTCCTCTGACAGATCTTTGAAGTCTTCAATACAGCATACTAGTGGTCCATGTTAATGAGATTTGCTCAGATACTTTTAAAGTTATTCTAAAATGTCTTAATCTATTTTCCACATCTTCTTGACCCAATTGCTTCAGAAAAGTCACAGCTTCACCCAACTCTGGACTAAACTTCATTCAAGTAGGTAAGGTCCTCAAGCAGTTTGTGTTTCCAAAGGCCCACACACCACCTTTTTAGGGTTTACTCCAGAACATGCAGGTAATATTGTCATTTCAATTACTCCAGAACACAGGAACACTTTGCGCTGCACTGTACCCTTTAATTTGCGTAACTTCAAGGTCTTAACACGTAGGATAGTACAGCCTCTCCCAACAATCCAAAAGTAAATCCAGTCTTAGATGTGGCCTGACAGACACTAATCGCTCCAGCTACATGACTACCACCTCACCAGCAAGTGAGAACAATCGGGGTCTCCCAGATCCCTATTTCCTGCTGGGGTTGGTAAAGGCACTCATGAAAATACTTCCAGTATGGCCCTTTGTAATTTGGGCTTGCTGCAGAGAAAACATTGGAGTAAATGTCCAAGAACCAAGCTGTCTGCTCCATTACACACTTGCTTATGAACGCACCCAAGTCGCAGGACCCACATTCAGAAGTAGCCTCGCCCCACATCTTCTAGGAATGATGGCTATTTCTGCTCTGTAATATGCTTTAAGACCATTAGGTCAAAAGCAAGAAAAGTCAAGGTGGCAAACTCAGTAAGGAAAACATCACCCTACAGATTTCTCACCGCCTGATGTGCAATCCTCCTTGCCACCCAGCCAGTACAGAAAACAGGAGTAAATACATCACCAGCACATCTTCCAGAAAGTCACTAGCAAGGAAGAGTGCTGGGGAGAAACCGCACACACTGCTGAGCCCTTCATAAACAGAAACTTCTCTGAAAAAGTTTGTTTCAGGGCTTCAACTTTTATCTGGAGCTCCTCCTGCTATGGCCAGCAAAGACGTGGCACAGCGACATGCCACGCTGGTTTGAGAGCTGTGTCTCTTCCTGACGAAACAAAGTGGTGGGAACTTATTTTTTTTTTTTTATGTCCCAGAACCATTTCTTTTTCCACACAGACAAACTGCACAATCCATTTTTTTTTGTATCGAGCTTTGGAAAAAAAGCCCCTCTGACCTTTCTCCTGGTTTGAAGAGAAGGGAGGAGAAAAATATACATATATAAAAAAGTTAAAGCTCAAACCCAGAGATTTATCTGTTGATCATCTCATTCAGTTCCGAGTTATAGCAGGCAGCTCCTGCTTTATTATCAATATTTAATCAGCATTTAACTCTGACAGGCATTAAGATTTGAAATTTTAAACTAAGTGCAACTTCGCTAAATCCTTTGTGTTGATTTTTTTCCTGTTAAAGGTTTTCTAAAGGATTCTATCTTTGCTATCTTAAAAGTCTGCATGTGTCTTTTGTTATCAATAATGTACAACTTTAGTAGCATGTTTTGTACTTTTCCATTTTTCAGCATGCAAGCTATCCCTGATTTACAATGCTCACTGAATGGTGTTTGATTATTGAAAATGCTTTTACATACATTTAAACAAGTGATTGCTCCCAGAAAACTAACACTATTGTCCGTAATTCTGTAAAAACACATTTTCCCTCCCTTCTCCCCAAATCAAACATTTCAATTCAAATTCTTACTTTGAGGAAAAACTGGCATACAATTAGGCATTACACCTAACAGTGCTAAATAAAGGAGAACGTAAACATCTTAATTCTGAAGGTTTAACCATCAAAGCCCCTTGGTGTATCTATGCTGTTATTTGCACCTCCGTTCAGAGCTCTTTGGAGCTCACAGAAAAAACAGAAAGCAAACAAAACACGCAGTATAAAAATCTATTTTACCAGCTCTGTGCTGTATCCCACTCCGCATGCCCGAGGCCAGGCTCGCACGCAGTGCTGGGACACCCGGGGCCACGCGGCCGCTCCTCAAGGAGTACAAAGTCCTGCTCTGTAACTGCACTGAGCGGCTTAACCGCTAACTCAGAAGATGGGATTTCACCTGAAATTAAGCTATCAAGCAATTGAGCTCAAACTCAATCAACCAAACCCTTAACCTTCCCTGTTTCAGTGGCACTGCTCTAATTAGGACTCTATCACTACTTCCATTACTATCTCCTATTCTCATGGTTTATTATCTTGGCAGTTTCAATTCTCACCCAGTTGAAATTTGACATCCAGTTTCTTGGACCACATATCATTCATTATGGCTTTATTTTATGAAGTATGTTGCAAGATTATGGGCCAATCCTGAAGCAAATAGCTTTTCGTTGAAAACAGCACCCCTCACTGCAGAAGCAGGACAGAGCCAAACCTTCTCACAGAAACAAGTCCTAACATTAAAGGACACACTGAACAACTTATTTTTCATCAAGCTGTGAATTTTGTTGCGCAGTCTGAAAACATGTGCTTGAACATGCATCCTGCTTGCACACACTGTAGCAGACCGATGGTTCTCCGGTCCTTAGGGTCTTCCCACTGAGCCTGGATCAGCTTCTAGGCGACAGAGTTTGGCTGAACCCTACTTACCAGCTCTGCCCAGGGTTGTGGGGTGAGACTCGATAACCTGTGACACTCAGGAGGTCAGACTGAAAGATCTAATGGTCTTTTCCAGTGATATATTCTACGAATCACCCAAACTGCTTACTGCTGAAGGATACGCACCAGAGGGAATGTCTGACAGGCACAGTGCCCTGATGGTAGCAATACAAAATACGCCTGGTTTGCGAGACATGGCCTACAAACTTCAGGCAAGTCTAACGCGGTAGTGTTTTGTGTTTATCCCAACCAAAATTGCTAATTTTCCTGGGTCACACAGAATCATAGCCACACATGAACCATGGCTCCACAACAATCCCATTACTTCAGAGGCCCTCTGATGCACCTGGGACTTATTTTTTTTCCTTTCTTCACAAATGCTCAAAGGGAGAACACCACTGCAGGGCAAGGAGCCACCATCATCTTAAACTGCAGGATCTGCTGATGCTTCAATAGCTGAAATGCATCTAAATACCTCATGGGCTCCTCCATAAAAACCAGTAATATTCAAATCTTGGAGAGGTACATAACATACAGCTGACATAGACCATTGGCCTGGCCAAGGATTGCAATATTCACTTGAACTCCATGGATTTCATCCTCGCTAAATAGATATTTTTGGCAACAAAGAATTGAAAAAAACCCCACATCATCCTCAGATCTATTTTAATTTAAAACAGAAGAGAACAGGGACTTTTTTTTCCCCTTGAAGTACATTTTAATAAAATTAAAAATAAAAATAGCTCTAATTCACTCCGATGCATTTAGTCATTCTGTAAAATTCTAAGTTTAAAATGAAATCACCATTTTATATTCAAACAAGGTCAAGAGAACAGCACTAACGAGCACTGACATCACAGCGAACAGCAGCCACTGCTCAACGCTTACATCAGTGTTGCTTGTTGCTATGGTGCTTAACCGACTATTAATTTCTGAAAGAAGGTGATTATAAAGCAGCCATATGAACCTCAGTCAGATGACACCCTTCAGTACCAAACACTGATCTGCGTTACTCTTCTCTTCTGCAAGTTAATTTCGTGAATCACCACTTTTGTGATGTTAATATTCCTTTCCAACTTGAAACTTTGGACCAGAAGAGAGGCAAGGAGTTAATTTAGAAGCAAGGGACTTTCACATTGCTTTAAATAAAAATCATTTTGCAGAGAGTGATATTTCTTTCCTTTTCGCTACGCCCCAAAAGACTAAAAAGCATGTGTTTTAATTTTTGCAGTGATAATAAGCAATCAAATTAACAGCTATATTCTGCTCTCCTGCTCTGCTCGACGCGCTGCTGTAAACCCAGCAGTGTCTCAGCCTGGGATGGAGCAGCGCTGAAGTTGACTTAACCATTCCCCAGGGATTTGCTCCGGTAAGGGGACCCTGCCACGGGGCTGTGCTGCTGCAGCTCCCAGCCCACCGCCCATGCATGCTGGGCCACGGACTTGGCCGTGAAGCCACCAAACCCAGGCAGAGCAGGGGCTTTCCATGCGCTCGCAGGCTCGCTCTGGTTACCAAACAGCCTTCTCAGAACGTGGCCTTGCTCCTAAAATGCAACTGGACACCTGAACCATTGGCTTCCCAGGCAAAACCCGGGTTTAAGGCACAGCGGTGGCTCCAAAAGCTGAGCTCCAAGCCCAACGCTTCAATCTTCATCCACGTTGCCAAAAAAGCCTTTGCAACTGTGCAACTAAGGCACGCTCCTCGGGCTTGCAGGATCAGGTCCCTTCTGCAGACATGCTTCAGAAACTGTGTGCAAAACAGTATTTGTATTTACCTTCTTCAGTTGCTCCTGTAAAGCAATCTTCAGTTACAGCCACCCAAAAAGGTCACTCTTCTTACCCTGTGGAGAAAGAAGGTAACACACGTGACTGCTGGGTCAGTATCGGCAACAATACCCGAAGCATTTTCACTGGCACCACATTTGCAAGTACAAACATAAATAAAGCAACAAATGAATCTAATCATGTTTAATGGTGAATGACTTTCAGAGAGAGTTAATAAAAACAATCAAGTCACAGGACTGCTGCTTATCAGTACCAGCCAGTGTGAGGCTCTTCAGTTCAGCACGAACAACTTGGTCTTTGGGAGAAAAAAAAAAAATTAAAAACACCCATGGAGATGAGACATCTTTGTTCTCTAGCATAAACTTTCTTAATCTTGATGTCTATCAATCTATTTTCAGTTTGAATAATAGATGAGTTCAGTCCTTTGTTTCACAAATCTGACTATTGTCTGAATGGGTTCTCCTCACTTAAGGCATTTTAAGACCATTTGTAACCACTGCTATTTTAGCTTTTGGATCTTTTCTTTTTTCTCATCCTTTTCCATAGAGACACAGTCCTAGATGAGATTTTAAAACTAGCTGCATCTTCCTAATTCAAAAAGTTGTTTACTCTCTTGGGATATCTTCTCGTTAAGCATTACCAAGAGCACAGCAAGTATGCCAAGGTGGTAAGAGCAGTGGGTATTAAAAAGAGAAATAATTAAAGTGTATCTTTTTATAAAGTAGGAGGGAGAAAACAGCACGTGTAGGGTTTTTTTTACCCTGTATATTACTGCATCTTGTGTACTCTCTCTTATGCAAAAGAGTATGTAATCTTTTAAGAAACATGACAATCTGCCACTTTCTGTTCATGTAATTGGGATCAACATATGGTACAAGAGAAAAGAAAAACATTTGTTTATTAATTTAGATCAAGTTACTAACTCAAACCACTAACAGCATTCAGAATTAATTCCACATCAAGTGACCGAATACCTTAATAGAGTAAAATTATAACATAATTTCACTGAAATGTTGATCTTCTGCTGCAGGGGTGCAGAATAGTATGTAATACAGACAGAAAAAAATATGCAATACTTTGGTGACACAGATGACATCATACGAAACGGAAAGTCGGTGACATGTGGATGTGTAAGATAGAGCTACGTGAAACTCCATTTCATAAAATTCACACAGTGATGCGGCGTTTTGGGGGTGTTTGTGAAACTCATCAAATGGTAAGTTATGCTATTTACATCAGTAGGTGAAGCTTCTTACTAAAGCAGTAAAATACCAACCTCTGGGAAAAATCAGAATCTTCATTAAGTTCTTTCAAGAGAAAATGTACTCATTTGCCATTTATTTTGGAAGGAAAAATGTTTTCGCAATGAGAATGAGGCATTACTGCCTTACCATTGAAACCCAATTATTTTTAGCCAGAAAAGAAAAAAAAAAGGTTACCTTGAGATGACATGAATACTGGTTTTATCTTTTGCACACTGGCATTTTATTTTATTTTTATTGTTTATATTTTGAGTGAGAAGCTTTTCACAGTTCTTGTAATGCTGTACCAGAAGATCAGGGGCCAAAATTTGTACGTGTTTGCTAGAGAGGAAGCCCTCTGTACTTTGCTGGGCTACATGTGTAAGACATTCCTGATTCTGTGCTGTAAAGGACATAACACTACTCCATCATAATAGGTCAGGTCTCACCTTCCTGAGAGTATGTAAAACAATACATCTTTTATGTAAAATACATGACCTTTGACATACGATGTGCTCTTAGATTAGCAACAATAAAGGCTTTTATCCTGCTTTGCTGCAGGGGTTATCTTGGATTTGACACTTTAAACCTCTTTTCATATTTATCTGTTTTATAAATTTTCTGGGTATTTGGCAGTCAGATCCTTATTTTGGCAGTATTTTGCAAGCAGACTTCATTTCTACCCTGAGTCTTCACGATAGCAAATGAACCATCTTAAAATGTACTTTTTAAGGAAACTGCTGAAAATTACATCTTTGCATAAAATGTGCATCCAGTATCTCTTTCGGCAGTACTGTGAAAGGCAGGTAACATTTGTCATATATGAACTGAACATGTTCCAAGGAACCCCAGTAACACTGGCCCACCGTTAGCTGGTGGGAGACCAATGGGGTCTACGAAGCCTCCAGAGGGTTGAGGAGGACTTCAGCTCTCCTCACAAATTACTCTCTGATTGAAATTCAGACTGCTTTCATTTCTCATTATCTAAGTCTTGCTACCTGGCTTTCGAAAATTTGGATAATATACCACTGAAGTTAAAATGAGCAGCAGAGACAGCTGTTCCCACCTGTGAATATTTCTAATTAATAGTCTAAAAGTTAAGTATCTCAAAATGTAGAAACACAAACTTTCCTCCTGAAAATGTTTACGTGGGTGAGCAAATTGATGTAGGCAACACACATTCCTTCCGTTATGCTGTCCTTAAGATAAACACAAAGTACCATCAACACTGTAAGTGTGCATGTGGAGCAAACAAAGAAAAAAATCCCATCCTACCAAAGCAAGACACTTCACTACACTCATATTTTCCCCAAGGAGATGATTAAAATAGAAAACCAAACCACAAACAAAAACCCACTTTCTGAGCAGCAGTGGACCTGCTGTCTCATGAGTGGAGAGAAGGTCTCCAAGCGCCTGTGACACCATCCCCTCGGCTCAACTGGCATCCCACACGGGGAACAATCTGTGCAAAATGATGTGCCCTGTTCAGATTTTACCAGATACTCCTGGAAATGTGAGATGTGTTCGCTGAGTGCCTCAATTTACCCACCAGCAAGATGGGTAAACACTTTTGTAACACATTTTGAAATCCTTGGATACAAATATAGTTTTAAAGATAGCTGTTTTCAGCAGGATTTTGGAAAGACACCTGGTAATAATCTTGAAAAGATCACAACCTGAGTCAGTGCCATAACCTTTTCAGTTGACTTTAATAGAAAGATCCCTACTGCTCTGGATCAGGTCCTGCCTATTTACCTGGTACCAAGGGACCAGACAAGAAGATCAGAGGCTTTGCCATTATACCTGCTCTCAGTTTGGACCTTGTAACTCTTTTGATCCCACAACGCTTATTTGATTTAGTGGTCTCCTCCTTCAGGGCAGGGAGGTCATTCCAGGGAGGCTGCAGGATGGAGCCCTGACTGCAAGTGATTAGTGCAAAGGCAAATTTAATCCACAATATAAAGAATATGCAGGAATAGAGAGCACCGCAGAATGAAAGTCTACTTAAACCAGTAACATTTTTACTAATATCTAAATGAAAAGAGGTTTGGGTAGAGCCAAAAATAGATTAACAAAGGCCTTGATCCCACACAAACTGGCTGTGAGTAATTTTACACAGGAAAGTAGAAGACCAGTTGAGCTGCTCCCCTGCTTAGAATTACGCACGTACATTTCTTTGCCAGTGTCCCAGCCTTGAGAAACCTACAATTCATTCTTGGAAACATGAAGTAGCAAAAGAATCTCCCCTTCACTACCTAGAAAGCACACTTGAATTAAAAATAAAAATTAAAAAAAAAGAGAAAACACACAATACCTGATAGCACAACCAAAAACTGTTTCTGAATTTTTATTTCAATTCATTCTCATATAAGATCAGCTGAAATAAATTTAATGTATCCGATTAAAATATTTACTACAATGCTTCCTGAAAGCTTTAAAATATCAACACTTGATCATCAAAATAAGCACTTCTGTACAGTAATTTCTTCTAAATAAAGCGAACCATGTAATGCAGCTGTTTCTTTCCCTTCAAAACTCCCTGAGTCACATTCAACTGCACACAGGCTGAAATATGAAATATGTCCTACTATTCTCATAATTACTATTTTCTTGTCCTGTGCGGGAAAAGATGCAATGATTTTGTCAACTGTACATTTGTAAGAGGAAAAAAAAAAAAAAAAGAATGTTTTTTGTTTGGTATTTTGCTAATCTTGACAATACAGGATGTACGCTGATCATGAAGAGCAACATCTGGTACCAGGCAGGCTTGTGGGCCCAATCCTGCTCGCAGGTTACTTTGCTCACCCAGTGCACTCGGTTGGGTTATTTGTACTAGCACACACAAATCAAATGTAAAACTGCTTTGAGGATGGTCACGAGTTGTCCCTTCAGTTTTGTTGTACCTATTTTATTTTTAAAGAGGTATCCAGCAACCAAAAATGATATATTAAACTGAATATTTTAAATAATCTGAGGGAGAAATATTTTGTCTGACCACTGTCAAAGTGGCTACTTTTTATCATGCAGCATATATTAAATCTCAGGAGGCACGGTACAGGAGATTTTCTATACCGGGAGTCATTATCACCTCCTCAGAAAGTGAAATGCAGGTGAACAGCAAAACTGCGAGAGACTAAGTGCACTTCTTCCACCTCGCTTTGAAGAGGGGGAAATGGATTTGGTACAGGCCAAAACACAGGGATATTAATGCTCGCTACCTCGCTGCTTCTTGGTGGAAGGAAGGAGCAAATCATACTGTATTTTCATTTTCAGTCATTAGCAGGCTGTTCAGAATCTCTGGCTGGTGCTTATTACTTATTCTAAACAGAAATAAAATAAAATAAAAATAAATAACAGCACGAGGACAAAGCTATGCACAGCACATTTTCTCTTTCAAAATAATATTACCTTTCAAGTCCACCGTAACCTTGGAAAAGAATCACTCGATGTAAGCCAATGCTACGAAACTAATCACAATCCATTCCTCCCCCGCTTTTTAATAGCTCTTATAGGAAATATGGGTACAGTTAATAGACAAGTTAAGAACAGCTCGCTTCCAATACAGAATTTGAACTGCGATTGTAAGTCTTGCATCTTTTAATGATGGATTGGTTATTTGCCTCACACGAATTACTTTGCATAACAGAGCTGGCCCTCATTGAATTCATCAGACGTAAAGACCATACCACGTTCCCAGAAAGTATCAAACCTGTCAAATGCCCAATCAAATGATGAGAGGCCATCTCACTGACGCTGAGAGCCAGGAGATCAAACGCTGCCGCCTGTTTTGTACTCGCCAGATCTTCCCCGGTTCT